GAACCGCTCGCGGGGCTCGGAGCGCTGGCTGCAGCCCCCCCAAAACCGGGAGCTGTGCTGGGCGAGGAGGGAGGACAGCCATGTGTCCCCCAGCCTCTTCAAGCATCTTTTTCCCCTTCTGCTCCTCTGATATCAGTGTCGTGAGCTGTCTCCATCCTCAGCCCTGGGCTGGAAGGACCCGGTAGCGTCACGCGGGCTGGGGGGTTCCTGCCGTGAAGTGGCAGTTTCTGCCCTGTCCCGTCCCTGGGGAGGGAGCGAAGCCCCAGAGGACTGGGCTTCGCCTCCTTTCTCCCGGGTTTTATTCCGAACAGGGCTCCGTGCGGAGCAGGGAGGAGGATCCCCGCCCAGCACAGCGCCGGTTCACGCTCCGACCGTCCGTCAGCTCCAACGTCTCTCTTAGCTCGGGCCACCTTCTTGCCTCTTGCGCTATTTTTCAAGGCAGACCCACTCATAAATCATACATCATAAGAATTATTCACTTTACGTACGCTTTATCGAACTCCCCCATCCCCGGTGGGTCTCCACGGGGGGTGTTCGCCACTGGGATGACACGTTTGGCATTTTGAGGGCTCTCTCTGAACAGCTTTTTTCCAGTGGCTTTTGGGTCTCGAGGGGTCTCACCAGCCCTGTTCACCCAGCTGGGGGGTGCTGGCCCCAGGTGAAGGGGGCTGGCGAGGCGGGACCCCACAGTTGGCACGGCGTGGGTCAGGACCGGTGGCACCGAGACCCCCGGGAGCTGCAAACATCCCCCCAGGGCAGCGAGATGTGGGTCAGGTTTGCATGGCATGGCACTGGGGGAGCTTCCAGCTTCACCTCTTAATTGGGACCTGTTAATGAGGCAGCGTCATGCTGGTGGCTCCCGGCTTGGAGGCTCGCACCAAGTTGGATAAGACTGTGGGAAAACGAGACAAAGTTGGGACCCGGGCTGCAGACGATGCCCCAAAATGCTGCTGGGGTGCTGGGTGGCCCCGGGACAGCTGGGGAAGGCAGAGGGAGGTGGGGACGATGCTCGCCCGGGCAGCTGATTGCTGTTTGCTAATTAGCAGGGCCCTACAAATACGCCTGTTAGGAAGCCTTCCCCAGTGATGCCGTTTGTCTTTGCCAGCAGAAGCTGGGAGACAGCAGAGGAGTCCATGGGCTTGGCTGGGCTGCAGAGGGGAGGAAATGAGGGACGTGGTGGTTGGCGCAGTCAGGTGGCTTCTAAAATAGCACCTGGGCTGCCGAGGGCCATCCGTCATTTTGACAAAAAAAGAAAATTCAGCATTGGTTCTGGTACGGGGGTTTGGCTTGGTCTGCGTTCTCCCTGTTTGCTTTATTTGCTGATGGCTGGGGTTCCCGGGGCGGGTGCAGGGTGGGGGGCTGGTGCCTTGTCCCCATCGTCCCTGCCTGGGCAGTGCTCAGTCCTGGGGAGGTCTGGCTGGGGGGCACCCAGTTTTTTGGGGAGCCCCAGGAGAGGATGTAGGGGCTGGGGAGCCCTGTGCAGCTCAGCAGGTTGTTCTGCTTTGGAGCAGGCTGAATAATTAATAATTATTCTTTGAATAATTGAGAAGAAAGAAAAATATTGCAAATTCAAGGCATGAATTATGCACTGCAGGCTGCTTGACCGGGTCCCCCCACTGCAATCCGTGCGCTTTGACCCTTTCTGTGCTGGGGAAGGACCTCCAAACTGTGCAGGGGGATGGAGGTGAAGCGGGGGGGAGCACAGGGGTGCACCCAGCCCCCTCCCCACTGCCAGAGATGCCAGGGGTGACACCAGTGCCAGCCCCCTTCCCTGTAGCATCATCATATTAGGGGACCTAATATATGCTTACAAATATCTGCAGGGTGGGGGTTAGGAGGATGGGGCCAGACTCTTTCCAGTGGTGCCCAGCGACAGGACAAGTGGCAATGGGCACAAACTGAAGCAGAGGAAGCTCCAGCTGAACCCGAGGAAGAACTTCTTCCCTCTGAGGGTG